CAACTTGCTATAAAACTTCAAGCAATACAAAACTTAACAATTTCGCATCCTACTGTTTGGAGACACATGAAAAAAAATCATTACAAAAGTTCCATGCCCATTGGAACAACCCATGTTGATATCTCATCATATTGAAACAAGGATGGCATGGACACAAATACACATCTTTACCGATGAAGCAGCATTTGTTTTATCAAATTAATTTTTAGATGGTATATAAATATTTTTTTCTTCGGTTTTATACAAGTATCAACATCGTGAAAAAAAATGGTATTATCAATGATCCTGATGAATTGGTAAAAACCTAAAAATTTTATTTGTGTTATTATTATTATTCGAAATAAAAATTATGAATTGTTTAATATTAAGTTCAAAATTAATACTATTACTATTACTATTGTTTTTTTTTACCCGAAATAGTATGAAAATTTCCCCGCATTTTATAATATCAATATTGCTCATAATGCTTTGCAAAGGAATACATCCATCCTTACATATTTCAATTCCACATACAACATGTTCAAAGAAACTTGACCATTAAGTTTTTTTATTATACAAAAGCTTATTAAGGATAATATCCAGTGGCACATTTTATTTACAGGCCAACGTAGAGGATTCAAAATAATAGACATAATAATAGCAACAATAATAATGTGAATAAAGAGAGTTGTAATATAACAATTAATAAAGATAGTAGAGTAATAAAGGATGTCAACAAAATTAATGAATAATTAATCAACCATCACTGTTAATAATAATAATAAAGGAAGGATCATAAAGATTATAATAAATGGAATAATTAAAATATCGGAGAGGAGTAATTATAAGAAAAGAATACAGTTTTGATGTATCGTTTACTCAAGGAAAACTGGCCCAAGTCCAAGCTCAATAACAATGACCTGGGATTGTTTAAATTTTACATGATGAAAGAATATTGACAGAATTGATCAGACAATTCGAGATCTAAATGGTCATATTGATAAAACTACATATTACAATTCATCATATGTCTTTCTCTGACTCTATACCTCATAAAATTAATCACTTTTACCATTATTTGGACCATCCCACAAATTTGCCAAGATATGGCAGAAATAAATTTAAAAGCAAAAGCTTTGGATATTTTTCGAAATTCTAAAAATACTATCTATAGTATGTTTTTGGAACCCATTTCTAAAGCACTTCACATACCACAGGACTTGACTTATAAAAGATCCTCACTACTACCTTCTCCTCACAAACAAACAATTTGTTCACCACCATATATTTACATACATCACAACATCGCATTTTCCTCTTCCGCTTCACCAATATTAAATAATAAAGCACAAAAAAGCATTTCATACATTATCAAACATGGAAACTACCAACCACCATTACAAAGGACAACGAAACAATGACATAATCTTTGTCCATGGTCTAAATGATTATGGAGATAGACTTTCTGAGCATGTTGAACCAATCTTGGAAAAAGGCCTTTACCAAATTTTGGAAGATCAAATGGACTACATTCATATGTAGAAAATTGGCAATCATTGATTGAGGCAACTCATTTGGTTATTAATCATGTTCGTGAACAAAATTTAGCAGAGAGCATTAATGATGGTGAGGAAGAAGAAGAAGAAGTAGAATTGAGAAGAAATTGGAAATTGTTTTGGCAAGTGGATGGATCACTTGGTGGAATGATTATTTTATGTTATGTTATAAAATATCCAGAGACATTGATTCGTTTGTGGTGATTGGCTCCTTTAATTTATGTGCATGATAAAAGCAGGCCTAGTAAACTAATTGAAAAATTCTTGTTAAAACATCTTTTGAACATCTATCATTTGCCCAAGCCCACCGTGGCAAAAGTAGTAATGATCCATTACATGAATTTGTAATTATAATATCTTATTTGCTTATTTATATTTTATTGAGGTTAGTTGAGAAGGAGAATATTAATTATATTAATTGGTTAATATGATATAAAGGAAATTTTTATCAGATCCATAAATTTATCGTGGAAATCTATGATGTGTTGTTTGACAAAATGTTACCAAAGTTGTAAAACTTATAAATATGTATTCCAATCTCTCCTTTGTTTCATCAGTCGTTCCCAAGGAGCTAAGTCTTTCTTTTACTGAATACAATTCGGTTCCCATACACTCACCTACTAATAAACTCGAACATTTCTTATTATACTAAATATTAATAACGTGATACATGATCGGGGTAGATAAAATCATCGATTGGGATTCGGTACTTTATGTTCCAGGGTCAACTAATTTTAGTGTATAATTATTATCAAATGAAAATTTTACGCAAAAGCTTTTTGTATAATATTAATATTGATCAATTTACTTTGCAATAATAAACCTTTAATTTTCCATTTTTATATTTATCCTTCCTTATTGCAATGATCAACAGAGAGTAATTTCTGGTTCTCGCAGGAGAAAATTAACGTAAAAATAAAATGATTAATAACGTAATTTGCTTTAGTGAGTAAGCAAAGGTTAAGACTAAAGTTGGTTAGCCAGTGTGTGTTAATAAAGTATCGTACAAAGGTTAATCGTAGTATTATTGTAATTGTAAATGTTAGTCTGTTAAACAAGCTACTTATGCTTTTTTTGCAAGTAAACCAAAGCGAGTTTGCAACCAGCCAATAAAGGTAAATGAATAAATCGATCACAAGTGAATAAAAGGAACTTTATAGAATCCTTGAGCTTTGTAAAAGGGCATCTTTATTTATTTACAATTATCTGGTGCCATTGAGTGCGCTCACAGACTCGCTCAGGTGCAAGAGAGAGGAAACTAAAGTAAATTTGTAAACTGATTAATTGACAAGCACCGAATTATTTGCATGGGTAATCAAAAGTCAAGCCATAATTCTTAATCAAAATGATACCACAATTTAACAAGAGTCAAAAAGTTTATTATTTCAAAACATTATTATAATTTAACTTTAAGAAACAAAATAAGGATAAAATAAAAAGATAAAGAAAAAGATAATGAATAAATTTATAGTGAAGATTAAATTTAGTCATTCGTCTAATGTTTATTGATTAATTAATTAATATTGTTAGTAATGGATAGTAATTTCCAATTAATTAATAATAAAATTTTTATTCACCTTTGTTGACATTCTAAAAAAAAGAGTTAAAATCAAGATTATTCAATGAACTATCATTACTTGTATTAATTTTAAAGCTCTTAGATTTAGCAATCTCTTCATCCAATATTCTACTTTTATGATATGCACCTGGATGTGATTTGTGTGCTTGTTGCGAAGCACCATCATGATTAAAATCAATTTCATGTTTTTTGATTTTAAAAAATTTGAATAATCTTTTTAATCTTTTAATTAAACTATTATTTAAGCTTTTCTTATTTGTTAAACATTTATTTTTAATAATTTCATCATGTTTATTATCAGCAAAATCATAAAGCTCTCTACTAGTTGGTCTTTTTAATGGATCCACATCCCAACACCTCTGCATCATTTGCACATAATCATCAGGCAT